TCCGAGGCAAGTTCCTTCCTCGCCCTTTCCTTTGGTACTTGAAGTAAGGGGGGAGAAGGAAAGCTGATGGGTACCACCATTCACTCTGACTGACACTCAGCCAACTGCCTGTGCCTCTTTGTGATTGCCCCCCGGGGATCTCTGGGGCTTCTCCAACCTCCTCTTGCTCACAGGCACATCCCACTCAGTAGGGGCATTTCCAAAGTGTAAACAAATGAGAAACTGAATCGCACTAGTCTGTGCCTGGCCACCTGTGGAAGCATCTCATAACTCCCGATTATGAGTAGACTCCAATAAGGACCCACGGGGAGGGATATTATCTCTGGAGCACATACGCCCTTGTGTGCTGAGATTGTTATATAGCATAACACCTGATTCTTAAAATGCTGTTTATTCATTGTGTACAAAAATAAATTTGTTCAGACACTGAGATGTGCTCTCAAAGAAAAAGTGGGGTGTCAACATCCAGGGATAAAGAGTGATATGGAAAGAGAAGTCATTAACTTCATTTTGGTGACAAGAGATTGAAGCAAACAACAGGGACCTGTGAGTGACTGAAGGTCCCCATCTGTTAGCTGAATGAACAAGTCATAATAATCAAAGCTAACATTAAAATGGTACCTACTATGTACTGGGCACTATTCTTTGCACTTTACATATATTTATGTATTTGGTCTTCCAAATAATGGATAAAATAGATGCCATTATGATCTATTAAAGATGACTTAACTGAGGGCACCTAGCTGGCTCAGTCATAAAGCCTATGACTCTTGATCTCAGGGTTGTGCGTTCTAGCCCACATTGGGTACAGAGATGACGTTTAAAAAAATGAGTTAACTGAGGCACAAAGAGTTAAGTAATTTGTCCAAGGTACCTTCCATTTCTAGTGTATTTTCCTATGTTTAAGGAGTGAGGTCTTTTATAACAAGTCTTAAGATTCTCCTACAATATGTTACCAAATAAATGTTATCTCTTCAACCATCTATATTCCTTGCAAAAAGCACTGAAAGAATTCAGAACCTTGAATATAGCTTAATTAGTTAATGTCACCAGCATCTCAAGATAAAATCGATCTTATATGTCCTTAGATTCCACTAATTTTATACCATAGTATGAGATTCAAAACAATTAGCTTTTACTCTTAAAATATTATTAATGCGTCATCTTGAATATGCTAATCAATAAAATAGATTCTGCAAGTAGGTAGGAGGGTAAATGCATGTTAATTACTTGGAATGTCTTAATTAACTCCACTGCTAATGATACAGCAATTAAGGCTTAAATATGTTTAGAGGATACATCCGTTTTCTACTGGGTCATGTTGCTGAGAATCGCTAAAACCCAATGGAATGGAGAGTTTTAGACCCAAATTCTCAAAGAATTCTAATCTCAATGAGAAAAACAAGTAAAACTAAAGTTCTAGACTCACTGCAACATGTTTCCCTCGCACATACACCTGCTTCTGGTTAGCTATTCTTTTCCCTTCTTGGTCCCCATATTCCTCTGAGCACCAGGAGGTACCTCATGGTCATAATCACTTCTGGAAGTGCTTGGGGGTCTGCATCGAGCACCACTGATGAGTCAACCTCCTATACATTTTTTCAAGCTTGTTTTTTATTTCTGAGCCCTGGGAGGGGAGTTATGATGGTGCCTGTGGACCTATCTGGGCCTAGTGAGTACTTAATACAGAGACCAGGGTAGTTAGAGCCATTTTAGAAACTATCTTTTATTGTGGATTAAAGATAGCCACCTTCTTTAAAAGAAGGACAGACTCCAAAGGCGGAGTCTATTCTCCCTCCTCTGAATGTGTTTTGGTCCTGTGACTTGCTTTAATCAAGAGAATACAACATACATGAAACTGTACTTAAGCGATCTGTAACTTCTGCTTTCATGCGCTTGGAACTCAACACCCTACTGTGAAAAATCCAAGTCACGTGGAAAGAGAACCGAGGTGCCAGGTGACAGCCCCTAATGCCAGCCAACAGCCAGCCCCTAATGCCCTAATGCCAGCCAACAGCCAGCACCAAGAACAAGTCACATAAGTGAGCCACCTTGGATGTTCCACTCTAGTCAAACCTCTGGATGACTACAGCTCCAGACTGACACCACATATGGAGAAGAACCTACAAGCTGACTTCGATCAACCCAGACTCTGAAGAGATAATAAGTGATTGTTGTTTAAACTATTAAGTATTTGGGGTGCTTTGTTAAGCAACAACAAATATGTCAAAGCCTTTCTACACCATGTTAGAGACCCAGGCTAAAAACCAGTTCCTGATTGACTCAGCATAACACAGGATAAGCCATGATAGGCCCAGAAATGGCCATGATGGAATTGAGAACACTTTCCAATATGCGACGTGGTGACTAAGACCATGGACCTTAGAGCCAGCCTGACTAAATCTGAATCCTGGCCTTTGATTAGATATGTACCTAGTAGAAGTTATATAACTTTTCCGTGTCTCAGTTTCCATTTGTGTAAAACAGAGATAATACTTTTCCCTACCTCGTAGGAAGATTAAATATCAGTATCAGCATATGTAAAGCACTTAGAACAGTGCCTGGCACAGAGTAAGTGTTCAGCAAATGTTCTCTATTAATATTATTATTTATTCTCTCTTCTGTTCTACATCCAAGGAACCACCCACTCACAGCTACAGAGGGCTCTATACTTAAGACATACGTAACCTTCCGTACTTAGACGGATGTGGAAAGAAGAGGAGTGCCACAGCATACTTCCTGTTTGATCCTACACCATGAAGAAATGGATTTCTGCCAGGTCATAAAAGCATGAATGTGATAAATGCTAAATCTGATCGGCCTCACACCAGCAAGGGAGAAAATCAAATATCAGAGTAAATGCTCAGTTTGTAGGTCATCCGTAACAGAAATGTCAGACGATTAATAAAACTTTATCTGAGAATAACCTGCTCCTAGGTAGAAGAATCCACACTTTAGGAACTTTATAACTGATTTCCACTCATTAAGGCACTGAGCTTTATATGCATATGACATAGTTCTGGAGGGCTATTTCTCAGGCATGTTCTGCGCTATCATTATCAGACTTATATCAACTTTGTTTCTAAATATTATTTGGTCGTTAACTCTACCAAACAGGTCAGGTTGCAGAGCACGGCAGTATCCACATGTGTCGTAATAAAATTAGTTCTAGTGTATTAGTAACACTGGGTTCATTTTGGTTTGGGGTTTTCATTGGTTTTGTTGTTGTTGTTTTGATTTCATATCATATACACATTTTGAGGAACTGCTTTTGTCAAAATGACACTGAATGATTCCTTTTATGAATGAAACAAAACATAGTAGCAATCACTTCATTTTGCTATAGAATTAGTAAACAGTATTTTTTTGTCCTAGCCCTTTGTCTCTTCTGTATTTTAAAATTACATCAAGGACCTATTTCTATTTACTTCAAAATTAATCATCCCACGTGAATTAAGATATAGTAGCCATAAGTTCTTTAAATACTTAGCATTCTGTTTGAACTCTTGAACATCTGGCCATGGTACTTCTCATGGGACTTTTTCACTGGAGGCCCAAAGCTGCCCCTTTCCCATCTCCCCCATGTTTCTAGTCATAGAATTATTGTAGATCCAATTATACGACTCTTATCCTTGTATCTGGACACGGTTCCATGTGTTTTTCAAGACAGCTACGATATATCCATAAATTGATACCCAAGTAGTTCAATCAATTAGAGGTTCTGGGAAAATGTGTTAGGTTTGTGCCTATCTTCAGCACGATAACATCACTCCTCCACATTAGTTACTCTTCTTTCCAAATTATTTATAAGCCTTAGGTCAACTTGAAAATATTCATATTTTCATTTCATGCCTGCTAATCATGCTTTAAATGGTGACTATCAGAGATGCAAATTAATTGCAAACCATACGAAGGATGCACAAATTAAAATCTATGAAATTTAAATTATGAAAGCAGTTGTATATCAGCTTCCAGGTCCCCCTGCAATCACTAACAGTCTCACTTATTGTATATTATTCAATGCAAGCTGCATTTGTTGATGTAAGCAGAAATAGAGAGATTTTATGACTTTCTTCCCCTCCTAACTTTTCCTTTACCCTCTTCCTTCCATTTGTCTTCCTTCCTTTGTCCCTGTCTTGAATCTCCACTTTTATGTCTGCCTAACTTCAGTTCCAGGTTACTACCAGATCTCATCAGTCACACACTATTCTGCATTAATTTAATACATCATTTTTAATATTTTCAATTTTACATCCCACCGATCGATTCAAAGAACCTGAATCAGCCCCACCATAAAAAAATGAGAAAGCCTATTTTTCCAAGGGCATTTGTAGGGTTATGGCAATTGTGTTTTATGTGATTATACACAAAAAGTTTAAGAATATACACAATTTCAGTGGTATTATTGAGAGTAACTGTTGGGAATACCTCTGAATCCACTATGTACTTGAACACAACAAATGATTAAAGTAGCCAAAGCTTCTAAATGTAACATCATACAAAAAAGAACCTAGTTAAGTGAAGAGCCTAGTTTTCAGATTAAAACTAAAAGACTCAACTGAAGTTTCCAGACTAGTAAAGTTTTACTTTACATGCATGTGTTTTCCATCAATGCAGCCCATTCATGGCTTCAAAGCTTCAATTAACAAAATATGATAAAAATAGTGTAACATGTCCAGTTAATAAAATCAATTTAACTGAAGTATTTCACAGTTTACCAACCTGTCCTTTTAGAAGCAAAGATGGGTATCATTTTATCGAAGAGCAACAAATTAATAATGGAAACCATTTGAATAAAATGTCTCTTGAGTTCCTCAGATTAAAAAGTGTCACAGATTTTTCAAAGCACAACTCAACAAATTCTTCATCTTGGTTTTATTTTGATTTGCATAAAATGTTTTTGAGTAGCATTATGTCGGTATCCTTCATAGTAACTAAACTCAAGTGCACACATGTTTAGCAAGATCATTTCAGGAAAAAGAAATGTCACCGATGTTTACCTGGCAAGGCTGTTTCATTTTAATGGCTATGACATGGTATCTGTAACAGCAGAGCTCACAGGTCCAGGAACCCCTCTCACTGATCCATTTCAGCAGGCACAGCTGATGTGTGTACCGAACGGATCCGTCACATCGGCAGGGATTTAACAACTCCCCCTGAAAAGATAACACCTCAGGTGAATATCTGTACTTGTGTCTCTGTTTAAAAAAACAAAACAAAACAAAACAAAAAAAACTAACACTTGCTTTCTTTTCTTTCAAAGCCATTTACCCAGATGGATACAAGCATCAATCTACATGAGAAAATTAAATTTTTATACTTCTGATGGGAATGAAACTACAGTCTTAAAACTATTTCAAAGATATTGCTTGATGTTATGACATAAATGTTCTACCAACACACAAAATGTCTGCAAGATATAGCTCCCAATACCCTTGGGGGAAAGCTGTACTATTAAACCTCTTTAATAACTTTTAAGTGGATGGTCAGATGCATTTCCTCTGCAGTTATTCTTAATCATTGCTAAAGAAGAAATGCATGGCATCCCTGAAAGTAGCTTGCAATAGCGTTATGCTTTTATTTTTTCTAAATGTAGCATCATAAATATTGACTTAGGGCACTATATTCCTGAAAGCCTGCATATTCTTACGCAATTTCCTTACTTTTAAAAATACTAAACCTAATGTTTACTCAGACCACACATTTTGTAAGAGGTATATTATCCTGCTGCCTCCATGATCACTCTCACAGAAGTTTGCATGTACCTCTAACGGAGTTTATAATGTTAGAATTATGTTTCTAACAAAATAAAAAAGAAGTTATTAGCTAAATACTCTTTCTTTCGCAAGGTCAAAGTACATTCCTATTTCTCTTGTAAACACTGTGACATGCTTTTCACATCAGTGAGTCAACATAATTTGCAATATGTAAAGCCCCTGCCCTTTTTGGTTTTGACGTGACTCACCCCCAGTTTGTATTCTAAGACTCTCTGCCTCTGTAGGCATGTGTGCAAAAAGGATTTGTTTCTATCTATAAACCAAAATCCATGTAGCAATTCACAAAGGAGATACTTATGACATTATCATTAAAGCACCTGAGGAATGTGTAACTGTAAAACCAGGTAGGAAAAATTAAGTGCAGACCCAATTAAACCCTGCGTTCGCCACCGGGACATTCTCGTTTGCCTTGACAGAAAGGGAAAAGGGAACCCAGGTAGCTGCCGCTGAGTTGGCTGGACTGGACCAGCCAGGCTGGAGAGGAGCCGGGAGGCGAGCGCTGTCCGTGGTGCTGAAAGGTCGACCGTCCTGGGCAGGCGCCGGTCCAGCTCGGACCGGAGCCCCCCGCCGGCACCTCCGGGGTCCCGCAGGGCCTTCCTTACCTGCTCGGCGCCCTGGAAGCAGATCTTGCAGATGGGCTGGTGGTGCTGGTGCTGGTGCCCGGCGCGCTGGTCGCCACCGCCGCTGCTGCTGCTGCGGCTGCTACACACCGAGCGCGTCTCGGGCTGGTCGCTGGCGCCCCGCCGCTCGCCCTCCCCGCCCGCGCCG